CCCCCGGGGGGCCCGAGGGCGGCCCCCTCCCCAGAGGCCAGGGAGGCTGGACCCGCAGGGGCAGGGCTCGCGAGCGGCCGCAGACCAAACAGAACGTGGCCTCTCCATACGATAGAGGGAAACAATTACTGAACACTCCCCCTCCCCCAGCCTCAACGTTGGCACGCGCGGGGGAAACTGCGGTCGAAGTGCATCTCATCAGACCCACCGCCAACTTTGAACATTGGGGGGAGGGGGAGCCGTTGACAGATGAATGTGGCATCATGAGTGTTCGCTAATTTGTTCCTAGGCCTATATGGGTCCGAGCACACGGGGTCGGAGGATCCCGTCGCCGATGCATCGCCGATGCATCGGCAACGTCGGCGATGCAGCGGCACCGTCGGCGTTCGGACAGTCGCACTCCGCATCGAGCCGCAGCGCCGACGTCTCGGCGATGCGGCGCGATCCTCCGACGACACCTGCTCCGATCCCAGGAAGACGACGACAGGCCCCCATCGACGAGGGGCAACTTCGGGGGCTAGGTGGCGGTACATCGCCGATGGAACGGGGACAGGTCCCCGAGTGCGAATCCGCACTCTCCTGCGCGGGGCGGGCCATCGGGCCCGCCGATGAGGGGGGGGAGGAGGAGGAGGAGGAGGAGGAGGAGGAGGAGGAGGAGGAGGAGGAGGAGGAGGAGGAGGAGGAGGAGGAGGAGGAGGAGGAGGAGGAGGAGGAGAAGGAGGAGGAGGAGGAGAAGGAGGAGGAGGAGGGGGAGGAGGAGGAGGAGACGGAGGAGGAGGAGGAGGAGGAGGAGGAGCCTATCCCCCCCCCCCTGACACTGCCCGCGGGCCGAGGGCAAGGCAGAGGCCTCCCAGAGCGCTCGGAGGGGGGGGGGCGCGCCCGCGGCGGCGGGGTGCGGCGGCGGCGCGTACAGGGACGCGGCCATGGCGGCGTAGCCAGGGTACCTCGCCCCCCGCCGGCCCCTCCCCAGGGCGCCGAGGCCACCGCCGAGGCGGATCCTCTGGCGGAGGAGGAGCAGGAGGAGAAGGAAGCCAGATGGTCGTACGGAGAAGGCAGAAACGAAGACGAATGAGACGGAGGTGAGTAAGAAGAAGACGGAGACACATACGAATAACGTGAAGACGATGAAGAAGACAAAGACGAATACAAAGACCACAAACCATGAATAATGAGACGAATGCTAGGAGTACGAAAAATAATAATGCTGAGCCGAAAACTGAGGAAAAGACTAAGACGAAGCGGACGAACGGGACGGTGAAGAAAACGAGGAAGAAGACGAAGACGAGGAACGAGGCCCGTAAGAGAGAGAGAGAGAAAGAAAAAAAAAAAAAAAAAAAAAACGTCCTCTGGGAAGCCTCGCGGGCGTCGCACGGGGGCGCGTGGCTCGCCCGGTCGGGGGAACCCTCGGCGAGGCCCCGTCGCCCCGCATCGGCTCAAAGGTTTTAGAAACTCCCCATACGTCGTTTCCCGAGGAATTAGCTGGGTTCCCCAGGATTTTGCACCGTCGCCGCCTCGTCGCCACCCCGTGAGATGGCTGGGCTCCCGGGGTTCTCGCCGGCCCCGGTCGCTGTCTCGTCGCCTCCCCGTGAAACGGCAGGTCCTTTGGCTGGTCCACACATGTTGCACTACATGTACTACACCTCGAAGGTTGCACCACACGGACTTCACCACATGGGTTCTCCCTTCAAGAAGAAAATAGACTCCACCACCCTCCCCACCCGGGTTCCTCGATACACCCTGGGATGACACCCTGTGAATATGATTATGCCTCATCTTTCATTACACGTCGCTCTTTTCGAATCGTCCTCATTTCTAATTGCGCTCGTTCCTAATTGTTCCTGGCCCCCTGGTGGCCAGGAAGAGGCCCAGGATAAAACAATTAGAAATGAAAGGATCTTGGCCCAAAAAAAATCACAGAAGTTTCGAAGAATTAGAAATGAACAACGTGTATCCATGTGGACCCATACCATCACAGGAGGGCCAGGCGCCCCCCCTCCTCATCCCTGCCAGAGGATACTCTGGGCGCACACTCGTCTGTTTCTAAGCACATGACATTCCAGACCATGTCGCACAACAAACACGCGCGTGCATGTCGAAATCGGACCGAACACCAGAGGTCTGCAAGCATGTCAGCACACAAATCTCAAAAGCGTAGAATCTCATCACACAGACTGCAGATTTACGGTCCGTGCGCATTTGCTGCAATCATGGGAAGACCATATGATTTGAGAAAGCTCGCCCTCAACCCGCAATAGCATCTCACCACGCGGTGCATCCGCGTTAATCCAGCATGCACCCAGTGCACGAATCCGTATCAAATCAGACCATGCGGGACACATGCGTGCGCCGCCACGTGCGCAAGTCCAATTCCTTCGGAAACGATTGGTTCTGGATCATTTTAAAATCATTTGATTCGACAACGTCTCAAATACACTTGCTTTTCAGCAGAAACCTGCCAAACCTAATTCCTTCATCGCCAATCGCCGCGACTGCCACCATCATCATTCAGTCACCGTCATCACCGGCACATAGAAATCATCATCATCATCATCATCATCATCATCATCATCATCTTCATCATCATCATCATCATCATCATCATCATCATCATCATCATCGTCGTCGTCGTCATCATCATCATCATCATCATCATCATCATCATCATCATCATCATCATCATCATCATCATCATCATCATCATCATCATCATCATCATCATCATCATCATCATCATCATCATCATCATCATCATCATCAGCATCATCATCGCAGTCACCAGCATCGGAGCCGTCTGTGGCCTTGCCGTCGTCATCGTCACCATCGCCACCACCATCGGAATCATCAGCATCATCATCGTCACCGCTGTTGTCGACGTCTCATAATACAAGGCCACCCGAGGTCACCGACCCGCACTGATATGCCCGCGCGCGATCGCGGCCTCTGCCACGCACGAGAGAGTTCCCGCAAGCAGGAGCCATCGCGGCCGCATGAGTAGTGCAAAACCAGGTGGTTGCTCCGCGCGCGAGCTTAAGCATGCCAGCGCGGCCGCAGCGATGCACTAGCCACGGCCAAGCACTGCACCACGTTGACTGCACCACGCAGATTGCACGACATTACACGCACGACATGGCACGCACCACAGAGACTGTACCGCTTAGGTTTCGCAGAGGTTGCACTACCTAGCTCTCACCAAATAGAATGCGCCACGTAGCTTGCACCGCATAGTGAAGCACACTGCTTGCACCACACAGCTTGCGCCTCGTAGATTGCACCACATAACGTGCACCAAATATCATACATCACGATTATCCTTTCTATTTATATTTATATTTATAAAAAAATAAATCTACCACCATCCCCCACTGGACCCCCCCCTGGACTTATCGATTCCCCGGAAACCCATACACAACACATAGGAGTCGGACCCAATGTCCATCCTTCCTGTGAATTCATACTACCCCAGCCACACCGGTATCGGCCCCCCCGCGGTTCCCTTGCAAAAAGATGGCGGTAAAATTTGTTGCTCTAACATAACATTTTTGCACGAATCCCCTGCGAAACAACGGGACGAAGTGCACACGCGCGCGCCGTCGCGCGCGCATGCCGAAATTCTTCAAAAACTCCCTGCTTCGGAAGGATATCAAAATCGAGTGTCCAAAAATAAGATACAAACACATGGTTTCGCAACGCGGATGTTCAAAAAAGCGTGCGCGCGCTCTTGCGAATGCTTGAGAAAACTATAAATGTTCCATCAGTTTCAAACCAAAAAACAGCTTCGCGCGCGCGCATGTCGAAATCGTTCGAACGCCCTTTGCGCGCGTGCCATCGCGAGAATCCTTTTTGCAAAAAACGGGACCAAGTGCACGCGCGAGCGTCGTCGCGCGCATGCCGAAATCTTTTCGGTTTCGTAGCGGCTGCAAAGCCGAATGTCCAAAAACAGATTGGAAAAACATGGTTTCGCAACATCGGTTTTCAAAACAGCGTGCGTGCGCGCTCGCTCTTGCGAATTCTTTCGCGTGCCATAAGTTTGTTTCACCATTTGCATGGAATTCTGCCAAGCGGGCCTCGCGCGCCGCATGCCGACATCATTCGCACGTTTCGCGCGCTGGGGGGGGCGCGATCCGCGTGAAAAGAAAAAAAAAAGGAAATATATATATATATATATATATATATATATACATACACACAGGAAAAAAAAAAAAAAAAAAAAAAAAAAAAAAAAAAAAAAAAAAAAAAAAAAAAAAAAAAAAAAAAAAACGCGGGACAATCTGGCACATCGGCCGCGCGGGCATGTCGAAATCTTTCCAAACCCTTCATCGCCGACGCGAGGGTGCCATCATCGTCGTCGAAATGATCAGCATCCGTGCCGTCACTGGCCGTGGTCGTCGCTTCCAGCATCGTCACCAGCATCGCTACTAACATTACCGCGTCTACCGTTGTCAACGTTGCCATGATACCGCGCCCGCCCAAGTCGCCGACTCGCACTCAAGTGCCCGCTGGGATGTGCCAAGCGGTCCGCGCCACCGCGACTGCGTCGGTCGCGCCAAAGTGCATGCGCGCACGTGCATGCGCGGGCTGACGCGGTCGCAGAGATGTTCCAACCAGCGCCAATAATTCATCGCGATCGCCGCCGCATGGGGTTTGCAAACCAAGTTGCGGGTGGGTGGGTGGGATGTTTGCGCGAGCAGTGGAGTGGACAACTTCACGTTGAGCACCGATGATTTGCACCGCATATATTGCACCGCATAGCATACACCGCATACACAGTTCGCACCCAATAGCACTCAAGGGTGCAAGAGTTCATTGTTTCGGGCCCACGCTGGCAAACATCTGCCCTGAAGGTTCGAAACTTTCGAACCTCCGCCAAGACCTTCGACGTCATGATTGCTCATGATTGGGCTAAGGAGCTTCCGACCTCATCCCGAGGACCGTTTTTGTTCGCTGCGGGCCTTTTGCTGAGGTCCCTAAGACCTGAGGGTGTCCCCTGACAGGCGGATAAT